CATGAAAAAAACAATGTAGGAAAACATTTAAACAAGTGTATCCTGGTTATGTATTTTCCATATTTGGTAGAGCTTTGTAAAACTAGAATATTTTTTACTATATTTCTAACAAATTAGTTGGTTATTATGATACTCCTCATATGAAATAAACTGGATAACAGCATCTTTGGGTTTGTGTAACCTATTAATTATATTTTGACTGATGACTCTACTTCAGCAGTTTGATAACATAGAAGTAACATTTAGACTCCAGGCTACATATATATTAAATATTGAACTATAATCATGTAAGGATATCATTTAGCTACTATTTTGCAATATCAGGTTGGGGCAGGAAAGGAAAGACTTGAATATAGTTTACTAATGTTACTGAATACTCATAAAATGGGTTTCTCTACATGGCCACTTAGTACATACTTAGGGAAAGGAAGCAACAATCCTCCTTTGTCAAAGATGAGAAATTGTCACTGTGACAAGCTAGGACTGCAGTGCCAAAGCACACAGAGGCTAGTTGTAAGGAGCATGGTGTTTAATTAAGCATATTATTTTGCAAAGGGTATACAGAACCACTGCAGAGTTTAAGAAATGAAATGTCCTCCAGAGCCTCATACAAACCTATAGTAACGTGTTTTGTGGTCCTGGGGTATGACCAGGTATTCCTACACCAGGGATTTTTTCTGAAGCCCCAATCCAAGGGCCCAGGCGAGCCTCTTGCTAATCCAGTGCCAGTAGAGGATTGAACTAGCATCAAGGAAGAAGTTACTGAGCCCGACATATGGCACATAGTGAACACAAATGTGAACAAAGATCCCACGATTTAAGTAGCCACACACAGTGAGTGAAGAACTGCAAGTCCTAGAATCCTTGTAGAAACATACAGTGAATGCAACTCCAAGATCCAGCAACCTAGTAGCAGTACACAATAAATGTTAAACATTAAGCCCCTATTATTCAGCCTTGGGCACCAGCTGCTTGCCGCTACTCTGCTGATGCAACCTTTGGCACCAGCTGCTACTCTGCTGATTCAACCTTGGGCTTCAGTGTCGGGCCCCTATTATTCAGCCTTGGGCACCAGCTGCTTGCTGCTACTGTGCTGCTTCTGCAGAGATCAGCACAGTAGCAGCACGCAGCTGGTGCCCAAGGCTGAATAATGGGGGCCCAACACTGAGGTGGTGGAGGGGAAGCCTTTGCAGAGGACAGAAAAGCATACCTTTATCTCCCGTGTTCAATAAAGTGTAAGCTTTTTGTAATGTATGTTGGAATGCCCTGAGTGACTAAATACCACACTGCCCACCAGAGAGCCCTGCACCAAACACCAGTGATCTTCACACTGACCACCTGGGAGCCATCCTGAGACTCTGGAGACATGATCCGGAAGCAACACAGAGTATGTAGTTTCAAATCTTTCTGCATTACTGTATAATGTATTACTGGGATTTGTAGTCCTCTATAGCTGGTGCAATTCTGAATTGTTTTATACGTAGGCGCGCGCACACCAGACTAGAGTGTTTTTTGATGGTTTTAGTTTGATATGTACCTTGGTGTCCTTCACTAAGGTCTGTAATTTGGAAAATGTCCACCACAACCTTGGTCCGTGCCTATCCATGAGTATACTTTAAACCAATAGCTGAGGCTAAGGTCAAGTCAAGTAAAGCATCACAACAATATAAATCTCCTTTCACATTATATTTTATTGCATAGAATATTGTTTTCGAAAAATGTTGTGCTCAAATTTTAAGGTTTGTGCTAATATCTAATTTCTCCACATTTTTAGTGGCTGCTGAGGTAATTATTAATTGCAGAATAGGAACATAACATACTTTACATATACAAGTAAAATGAAACGCAATGTAATTAAAAAAGGATGGCATATTTTACTTGGTTTTACCTTTTTTATATATCACCGGGAAAACAATACTGACAGAATTAGTTGCTGGTGTGTAGTTATAAATAAAGTTATAAATAAGTCAGGGCCATGACATTTTAAGACTACATCCACTTGAAGTCCAAAGCCGGCAGAGTGCACTTGAAATTAATGGAAGTCACATAAAAAAAAGCTTGTCCAAGTCACATAACCATCTCTCCTCCAATCATGGAGCTCTCTCTGATTAATGGTTCAGAGTACAGGCCACATTTAATGAATGGGCCAAAAAACGTGGGCCATGGTGTGCACAGCAAAGCAGAGTAAGTGGATAGCAATATCTGCTCTCTAATATAAATTGATCCCTTTGTTTTTATTATTACCTAAGGACTCATTAGTGTGATAACTATGATGTTGTGCTCCCCTGATGCGTGTTTTATAATTTCCGAATAAACAAATAAACTGGAGTAACAATGAAGCAGTTGAAGCAAATGAAGCCAAATATCAGTTTTGGGGAGATGTTGAGCCTTATTTACTAAAGGCCTTTTGGTTAAGCAAATTTGTTCTAAAGCTCATGAAAACACAATGACATCAAAAAATTACACCCCAGCTAACTTTCAAATTAGTGTCAGACAAGGGGGGCGTGGCCGCGATGTGAGCCTGAGTGCACGTGTTCTGTGAAGCTCCGTTGCCTCCGCTCGTGACATCCTGTTCTTCTCCTGCCTACCGCTCTATCTGGCAGCACCTGACCCTCTCTCCTGTGCGGGACTTACCGGGGAGCAGATCTATGTCCGCCAAGTCCCGCAGACGTGCCGCTTCACAAAGGAAATCCACCCTTGGATTCCCCTGTGCTCGTTCCTGGGCCTCTCCTGCCGCTGCTGGACATGGAGGGAGCCGGCGTGGAGGGGGTGAGTGGTGAGCAGTCCCGGATCTCTAACTCGGGGGGCACGAGGTCGCGATCCCCAGGAGGAGTGGGGACCTCCGCAATCCTGGCAGCAATAGAGGGGTGCCAGGTTACCCTTACAGCCAAAATTGACCACCTGGCAGCAGAATGCACTCTAATCCGCCATGATCTAGATAAAATCCGCACGCGTCTCACTACTGCCGAGGCGAGGGTGTCGCATGTGGAGGATGAAGTGCAGGGACATAACGCCACGCTTACGGATTTGCAACATACCGTGCGGGCACTGGCTGCAAAAGTGGATGATGCTGAAAACCGCATGCGGCGGAATAATGTGCGCATTGTGGGGATCCCAGAGGGCGAAGAGGGTACAGATGCGGTTCAGTTTGCTGAACACCTGTTCAAGCGTGTTCTGGCTATGGACACATTGCCCCCTACATTTCTGGTGGAGCGGGCGCACAGGGTGCCCACGGGCAGAGCCCCGCCGGGGGCCCCCCCGCGTCCCTTCATTAGTGTCAGACAATGTTTTCCAAATCTTATAAAGAAATAGTAGTGCAATGACAATATACATAGTGGAAGTGGATATTGCACGTCCTACCAATTCAGAATATTAAAATTTTTTATTGCACTGGCAGATCATTGCTCATAAGATTGGGTGTAAAGTGAACTGTTGTTAACATCATAACATGTGCTTGTTCTCGATGATTAAATGAAGAAAAACCGGCTAAATCCTTCCTATAATGCTCAGCTGCTGCACAGGTCTATAAAGCCATGTAAAAATACTGTAAGTTTTAAAAAATATATGTATAAATTGAAACCTACATATATAATCAGCCACTATATAGTATACATTTATTTATATAGTTAGTTGTTCATTCAATATTATACACAATCTGACTATCTCATGATGTCTGTGGGCACAACTTCTGCCCTAACTTGGAACACTCTGGCTGAACAAGCGTTCCTTTTTAGACAATAGGCATGGGAGAAAGAAAAGCAGCCTTGCTCCCACCACATAGTCCTGACACTGACTTAAGGCCTAAGTCCAGCAAAAACATATTTTTTCTAGTTTTTGATAGTGGTAAAGAGTTAGAAGGTGCCAGGTTATTATTTCTGTCTGTAACTCCAGTGAGGAAATTTTCTCCCACTTCCTGTCCCTGTGACACCCATACAAAAAATTGTGGGTGTCATTGGGACTCTTTCAGTTTTTGTCTGTTTCCCTGTTTCCTGGGCAGGGAATCTCACCGTTTGGGGCTCAGATGCCAGTAAAATCTTAAAAAGGCTACAACCCATCGCAGCTTATCCAAAAAAATTAAATAAAGAGTTTTGGCTGGTTTTAGACTTTTGCCTCATTCCTTGTCATGCAGGAATACCTGAGGGTGGTTAACATATGTGCCTGATGTGTTCCATTGTCTACAGGTACCTTTGAATTAAATGTTATATACCACCATGTAACGCTATGTCATCACTGTGGGGTGACTTGTGGATGCATCCATTCTTATGCAATGTCTGATAAAGATCTGAAAACAAGGCGACATTATAGAAAATGTTAAGGCCAGGTGCAAACTTTGGCGTTCCTGGGACGCGCGTCCCGGGACCGCATGATCGTAAGTAGTTGCACACAGTGCTTGCCGCACGGCCCCATTGATTTCAATAATGTTATATCCACGCGACAATTGCTGAAAGAAGGTACATGTACCTTTTTTTGCGCACCGCACGTTTTTTTCCGCCGAGATCTGCGTGATTGCACGGGCAGAATCACAGCTGCCCGTGCAATCACGGGGGCACTCAGGCCCTCAGCCCTTGGAGCGACTGGGGTGCCATTAGAAAAGAATGGCACTGCCAGCGCGATAAAAGCAGCTGATAATAGCTGTGGTGTGCGATTCTTTGACCATGCAGCCATCAGCGCGGTTTCGTGCACAATTTCCACGTGGTCACGGATCGCCCAAGTGTGCACCTGGCCTGATGGTCAAGTATTGAAGCAGTACCTACACCAAATGTAAAAAAATCAATTATACGTATATGTATGAAAAGAGTCTAAATGACCCCTCTGCACTTTTGTTGGCTTTGTCCTTGTAAACTTGCTTTCCTTTCATTTTATGTGATATCTTGCATATTTTTCCGAAAAACAATGGTAATGATTGATAGATTTTAAATAATAATTATTCCTAATAATATAAAATACAATGGAAAATCCTATAGACATAAATAATAGAATATAAAAACATAGAAAATGTTTTAGTAAATTAATTTTTGAGCAGCCGTTAATGTATTCTTCAGTAGCATTGCAACAGTCATTGGTCCAACGCCACCTGGAACAGGGGTGATAAAACCGGCTTTTTCTTTCACTCCTAGAACGAAAAACAAGAACAGCATTTTAACAATAAAACACAGTTTCACCAAACTATAATTAGGCAAACAGCCATGTTTAAGAGAGAGCTAAGGGCAATGATTATAAGCAAAGCACCAAATCTCATAACATCCTAATATCTTTTCACGACATGATTACGTAAAGTCTACTTTGTTGCTCTGGATCCTCCAGTTGGTTCTTTTAGTTTCTGAACAAGCAAAGTAGTAGATAAAGGCTACATTTCAGTTGACAGTGGAACAAAAAATAAAACGATTTACATGTACTGCATGTACAATAGAACAGAAAATGGTAATACAGTATCATGAATTAGATAAAAGCCCACTGGATGAGAAAGAAGGGCACATGGACACCAGGATTATATAAGAAAAGAGTAATCTTTACTTAAATTTTAAAAATAAAGCTGAATTAGAAATAATAATGCATATTTCTAAAAGTAGAACTCAAGATCAGCAGCACTGGCAAGAACAGAAGCTTGTTTACATTTTCAGTCCCAGGTGCTTGCTTTCTTGTGGCTCAGACCAGGGAAGAAGCTGATCGTGCACAGTCTGAGGTGAATCAGGGGTCTAGACCCATGATGTTTCCATAAAGAGAAGCTGCCACCTGTCACCTGCACTATACTACCACATAGGGGGTTATCAGCCCACTTGTGATAACAAAAAATGTAAGTTGAAGAAAAATGAATTAAAAAAAAAAACACACAAAAGTATGAAAATGGGGTTTGACATATTTGACATCTATGTACTTATTGCAACCTTATCTTTTATATGGGTATGATATTGTGTTTGTGTACACTAACATTAATTTAGAAACATTTGATAAACAATGGCAAACAAAAAACTGCCACCATTTTATTCTACAGGGACTCTGCTTTTAGGAAATATATACAGCTTTATTCACAAAATGGTGAAGAGTTTGGAGAAGGCAGGAGAAGTTAACAAACTAGGACAACATAGCTGAACTGGAAGGTGAGCTGAATTGGAGAATTTTTCCAAATCAGCTATTTTGGCCTAGATTGTTCACTTCTCCAGCCTTCTCCAAAGGCTTCATCCTTTTGTGAATAGCCCTTATAATGTTTTGGGGGTTTTAAGTTATCTTCAGGCCTACAATTTGCATTTTAATATGTGTTCAAAAAAATGACTCCAACTTTAATAATTATATATACTTATATTGGTCCAGTTTGGCACAATGTAAAAATATATATATACAGTATATATATATATATATATATACAGGTGAAATTCGAATAATTAGAATATCGTGCAAAAGTAATTGCAGTAAGTGCTGCAAAAGGGGCCCAAACCAAGTACTGAGTACATATGCATGCTTGTACTTTTCAGAGGTCCGATATTGTTCTATGTACAATCCTTGTTTTATTGATTGCATGTAATAATCTACTTTTTTGAGGTTGTGGATTTGGGGTTCTTGGGGTTTTCATGAGCTGTAAGCCATAATCATCCCAATTATGACAAATCACGGCTTGAATTATCTTGCTTTTCATGTAATGAGTCTCTCTCATATATTAGTTTCACCTTTTAAGTTGCATTAGTGAAATAAATGAACTTTGCACGATATTCTAATTATTCGAGTTTCACCTGTACATATATATATATATATGCACAAAAGATCTCTGACAGGGCCACAGGGATCCTGTAGTACACTTTAGTAGCCGCAGCAACTTCTCTGTGCTGTTAAAACACAGAGGGGTATAATCACGAAGCAGCCGAAGGATCTAGCCATAGCTTCGGCCGATCCTTCGGCTAGCTTCGGCCGATCCTTGTGCTAGCTTCGGCCCCAGGACCCCTTCGGTTCAGTAGAACCGAAGGGCTGCTGTACGGGCTATTCACTACAGCTCCCGAACTTGGCCGAGCGGCTCAGTCGAGCCGAACGCATATGCCTTGGCTCGGCTGAACCGAGCTGAAAGCCGAAGCTGGCCGAGCGGGCCGGCCGACAGCCTGCTTCTGACAGTTGGGCGGAGCCAGCTATGATCTTACGGCTGGCTCTGGCCACTTGCAGAGAGATCAGCGACCCTGGTTACCGACTAACCAGGGACACTGATCTCCAGACAGAAAACTCTCCCGGGCGCTCCGGGAATCTCCCGCTCCCGGCCGCCAAGGAGAGAAAGACTGCTTTTTCTTTTTTTTTCTTTATTCTGACACGGAGCCAGAATAGAAAAAAAACACAAATTTTGGCCTTAGGAATGCATAGCTAGATTCCTATTGGCTATTTCAATTTGCAATAGCCAATAGCAAACTAGCATTGCACCCGCCCTCTGCTGCAGTTCTCCATCAGGTCCACCACTACTGATTGACAGCAGCAGAGGGCAGGTACAATAGCTAGTTTTCTATTGGCTATTGCAAATTGAAATAGTCAATAGGAATCTAGCAATGCATTCCTATAGCCAAAAATGTATTTATTTTCTTTCTATCTCTTTTTCTGTCAGAATAAAGGAAAAAAACGAAAAAAACAGTGTTTCTCTCCTTGGTGGCCGGGAGCGGGAGGCTCCCGGAGCGCACGGGAGAGTTTTTTTTTTTTCGTTTTTTTTGACGGCAGCAGAACCGCCGGCCAATAGAAAACAGTTGGGCGGAGCTGGCTGTCATTGCTAGCTCCGCACAATCGTTTTCTATTTATTTTTTTCTACTTTTTAAACTGTTTTTCTGTTCTGCTCGGTCCCTCTGAGGGAGCGAGCAGAACAGCCTAGCCGAATGCTGCTCAGCGGCATTCGGCTATTCACTCACTGCTGTTCGGCATCTATAAGAATAGACCCAACAGCAGCGAGTAGCCTGCTGGAGGTTCGGCTTAGCCGATCCAGATGTTGGATCGGCTGAGTCGAACTCCTTCTGCACTTCGGGTCGGCCGAACATGCTGAGCATTTTTTTTTTATTGTTTCTGTCAACATTTATAAAGAAAAATCCTGCAACTAATTTTCATACGTAAATATTTTTTAATGCATTTGAAATTAATGAAAATGTTGGATTCTGACAAATCCAAATGCCGAAACAAATTCACTTTTGGACCTGAATCTCGAAAAATTAGATAACCAAAGAATCTGAAACTAAAACAAATTATTTGCCGGCGCACATGTCTAGTTATTACAAACAATAATTTGCAGTGAACAACTCTTCAACTGCTTCAACTGCTATGTTACAATTCAAACCAAAGGTCAGTCAAACATGGATTGAGTGAGGTTTACTGGTGTTTAGAACTCAGCTCCGGGCTTTTGGCTATTATCAGTTTCTCAAAGGGGCCAGGTTTAAGGAAAGCTCATGGAAGGCAGCTTACCAATATGTTTAGAGGGGTTTTGTTGGTTACTTTAAGTCCCATGTCATCTTTCTCTCTAACTGATCAGCTAATGATGCAATAGCTATCTTTTCTTAGATAGATAAAGTACTGCCCCTCACTATTGTTTCTAGCAATTATCATCACTACGGTGCCACCTCTCAATTTATAGAGCCATGTTGCCAGAGAACCAAAGAAATTAACAAAACCTGCAAGAGCACTGTACGTATTGCAGACACAAGCTCTCCCAAAATGGCCATACCTGCAGACATTTCTTGTCTGCTTCAGGCAACCTTCCTCTAGCACCTTCCTCTACACAGCAGCTGTAAGGGAATTAAGTTGGTGGCCACCCGGCCATGCTTTATCTCCAAAGAGGCACAGACTGCTCCTGATGGTACTCAAGGCATCACATTACTTACAATTGCCTTGACGCCTCCACTGAGGGCCAAGCATCCTTGCAACAAGAATGACATGAAAGCACAAGCATGTAAAAGTGCGAAAGTCGTTACAACAATAACTGTAGTTTTATGCTAAAATCCTCTAATTCACCCACATTGTACTTGCTCCCCTCCTGTGCAAAGTTTTCTCTTTCTCAGGCAGAAATCCTCTTTGGGGTCAAACCCCCCATCCCAGCTCTATCACAGGGTTTGCATATAGCACTCATTTTGCAGACTACAGCTAGGCATGCATGGCTCGGATTTCATACAATTACTGTTAAATCGCCCTCAATTCAAGATGTGGGTGGCCCTGTCAGCACCACCCAGCTCAAAAAAGGTCAATTTCTAAATTGAAGGAGCAAGGTAGAAAATTGTCAGCTAAAATGTTTCTAATTCCCCAAGCAGAGCTGAATGAGAGAAATCTACATTTGTATGGCTACTTTAACTCAGATACTTATATTTTAGACCAGGTCAGGTACACTGGACTGATAGAGATACAGTAAGCTCCTCATTATCCGGCATTCAAGCAACCTGCACACTTAAGTAACCGGCAAAAAAAAAAAATCGAGGAATATGTCCTGATTTTTTTTTTGCAGGTTGCTTGATAGACATGTACATGCTAAAAAATGTTGTTAGTAACTATATAAATTGCTAACAAAATGTATAAACTGTATAAATTGTCTGTTTACGTTTTGCTGCCGGCTGTGGCTAGATTCTGCAGTCAGCAGCTGAATGTAAATGGGATGGGAATGGGAAGCAATAGCCAACCTGCTATTGGCTATTTCAAATTGCAATAGCCAATAGCAGGCTGGCTTTTGCACCCACCCACTAAGCAGAGGAGCAGGCCTCAGAGAACTTTCTCTCTCATGAGGGTTGCTTCAAACTATTAACTCTCAAGCAACCAGAACTACAGTTATCCTGTAATCGGCTGATCTCCGTGGGTGCCAGATAACTGGGAGTTCACTGTATCTGTAAATGTGTACAGTACTGAAAAACACCAAATACCAATTGCCCCTCTGAAATGATGTGAAGTGATATTGTATGCCTCATTTAATGTCCTTTAAATTTTAAAACCAGGATTGCTCCCTTTTCCAAGCCTCCGGAGCCAGAAGAAAATATGAATTAAATACCTATGAGATTGTATAGAGCATATTTACTGACTGACGTCCATTGTACTCAACTCACAACACTATACATTCTGTGTATTTGCTGGGCTCAAAACCAGTGAGATCAAAGGCTATAATGGTGTCTGCCCAATGGTTGCACC